CACAGGTGCCCACCACAACGCCCGGCTATTTTTTGGTTGCAGCCGTCATTGTTGTTTGGCGGGTCCGGGCTGGGGATTCGAACCCGCCACCTTAGGTGTGCGTGGCTGGCGCCTTAGCCAGTTGAGCTATAGGCGCTGAGCCTATCCTTCCATTTTTGAAGGACTTTGAAAACTGTTTTCTCAGACAACTGGTCACTACTTATTAGATAGATGTTATATGCTAGCTCCTGCATTTGTCAAGATGGTGCCTGCCATAGGGTGAGTACAGTAGCTCTCCTGTATTAGAGGTTTCAGTTACCTGTGATCAATTGTGGTCTGAATAGGTAAGTATAGTACAATAAAATGTTTTGAGAGAGATCATATTCACATAACTTTACAGTATATATTTGAGACAGAGTCTCACTCTGTCACCCTGGGTAGAGTGCCATGGCACCACCCTACTCACAACAACCTCAAACTCCTGGGTGCAGGTGAGCCTCCTGGCTTAGCTTCCCAGGTAGCTGGGACTATAGATGCATGCCCCCACACATGGCTAGTTTTTCTGTTTTTGGTAGAGCCTGGTCTCTAACTACTGAGAACAAGCAATCTTCCTGTTTTGGCATCCCAGAATGCTAGGATTACAAGTGTGAGCCGCTGTGCTCAGCCTTACACTATGTTGTTACAGTTTTTCTATTTTTAGTTACTGTTAATCTGTTACTGAGAGTTTTTTAGCTTTTTAATTTATTTTAATGAATGAATTAATTTTGAGACTCTGTCACCCTGGGCACAGTGCCATGGCATCATCACAGCTCATAGCAACCTCAAACTCCTGGGCTTGAGTGATCCTCTTGCCTCAGCCTCCTGAGTCTGCGAGTATAGGTGCCTGCCAGCACGCCCAGCTAGTTTTTCTATTTTTAGTAGAAACAGGGTCTTGCTCTTGCTCAGGCTGGTCTTGAACTCCTGAGTTCAGGTGATCCACCTGCCTCGGCCTCCCAGAGGGCTGGGATTATAGGTGTGAGCCACCATGCCCAGCCTCTGAGAGTTTTTAAAAATAAATAAAGTTTAATTATATGTTAAACTTCATCACAGATACGTGTATGTGGACAGAAATGCAGTGTGCATAGGGCGTGGTGCCATGTGCACTTCAGGCATCCACTGGGGGTCTTGGAGCACAGCCTCTGTGGATAAGGGGGATTGTTGTACTCTGTAAATACTTGTCGACTGTCTGTATAGACCAGAGGTTTTCCACCTTGGCACCTCTGACATTTGGGGCTGGATCATCCTTTTATGTGTGTGTGGGCTGCCCTGTACTTTAGGGTGTTCAGCAGCATAGCAGCACTAGCGGTTTCTGTTGTGACAACCAAAAATGTCTCTGGACATTGACAGCTGTCATCTGAGTGGCAAAGTTGTCTTTGGTTGGTTGAAGACCAATGAATAAGACATAAGGAGCTGTTAGGAGAAGGGGTGTCTAGTCCTTCTGGGGAGCCAGGTTCCCAGCCTTGCTGTCTGTTAGGTTCCCCTGTCATTAGTCAGAGCATTGTTCTCCTTCCAAGCTGTGTCTTCAGTTTGTGGTGCTTTTTTTCCTGTGTTACTCTTCCCCCACTGCACCGTAGGTTCTACAAGGTGGGGACCCCGTCTTGATCATCACATCATATTCCTCCTCGAATCTCCCAGTGTCTGGCATGTGGTGTGTGCCTGGTTGTGGGTAGATGAGTGAGCCAGAGAAGACCTCTCAGGATGTGATCCTTGGGCTGGTTCAGTCCAAAAGGCACATCAGGCAGAAGGCTGAGGTGTTCAAGAACCTCAGGGAATTAAACTGTGGACTGGTACCTGGAGGTGGGAGTGGAGAGCTAGCCAGGGGCAGAGTTGGTCTGAAGTTGATCCCTTGTGACAGGGAGGGGAGTCACTGCTTCCCCTTCCCACTGGTCAGCTCTGATTTTGGGTGCTTACTGTGAGTGCAAGTGTCATGAGTAGCCAGGCTTGTGGGGAGGATGCTGAGCTGGCAGCCAAGGCATTTGACCCTGGCTCTGTCTCTTACCAGCTCCATGACCGGAAACTGACTAAGAGATGAAGGGTAGAGTTTGAGCTGCAGTGTTTCAGCTCTAAATGGTTAGCTCCCTTTTACCTTTCTGACTAATTTCTTTTTTTTTTTTTTTTTTTT